ATTTACACACACACACACACACACACACACATACACACAGAGACATAACGGCACTTACACACACACACACACACACACACACAGACACAGAGACATAACGGCACTTACGTTCAGACACAAGCATGTATGAACACACATACACACTCAGAAAGTGATGCATGGACACACACACACACATACTCAACACATGAGGTGTGACCGTGACCTTTGACCCTGCAGGAATGATGAGTCACCCGCCGATCCCCGTGTCTGAGCTGCCCGAGCACATGGAGCGCCTGAAGGCCAACGACAACCTGCATCTGTCGCAGGAGTACGAGGTGTGTGTGACGCAGAGAGACAGCGACCTTCATCAGCACACACACACACACCCATACACACACTCACACACATTCATTCATTCATCAAGCCTGTGTGGTGTTAAAGGGCCATGAACTCCCCTGTTCCAGCAGGGTGTTTTCACACCTCTAGTTTGGAAAAGGTCAGGGAAGTGGGTGTGTCCCGCTCTGTTTAGGTGGGAGTGTTGGGGGAGGGAAAAGAGGGAAGGATTTAAATAAAAATGGGAGTTTCCGTTTGGGCACGCGCTGATTTCACTCAGGAAAAACAAACAGATGCAGGGGAGAGAGACGGAGACTGTGTTTAATGACGGTGGAATGTTTGATTAGACTGAAGAACTAAACTACAAACCACTGAAGAACTAAACTACAAACTACTGAAGAACTAAACTACAAACCACTGAAGAACTAAACTACAAACTACTGAAGAACTAAACTACAAACCACTGAAGAACTAAACTACAAACTACTGAAGAACTAAACTACAAACTACTGAAGAACTAAACTACAAACTACTGAAGAACTAAACTACAAACTACTGAAGAACTAAACTACAAACCACTGAAGAACTGAACTACAAACCACTGAAGAACTAAACTACAAACTACTGAAGAACTGAACTACAAACCACTGAAGAACTAAACTACAAACTACTGAAGAACTAAACTACAAACCACTGAAGAACTAAACTACAAACTACTGAAGAACTAAACTACAAACTACTGAAGAACTAAACTACAAACCACTGAAGAACTAAACTACAAACCACTGAAGAACTAAACTACAAACCACTGAAGAACTAAACTACAAACTACTGAAGAACTAAACTACAAACTACTGAAGAACTAAACTACAAACCACTGAAGAACTAAACTACAAACCACTGAAGAACTAAACTACAAACCACTGAAAAACTGAACTACAAACTACTGAAGAACTAAACTACAAACCACTGAAGAACTAAACTACAAACTACTGAAGAACTAAACTACAAACTACTGAAGAACTAAACTACAAACCACTGAAGAACTAAACTACAAACCACTGAAGAACTAAACTACAAACCACTGAAGAACTAAACTACAAACTACTGAAGAAAACTACAAACTACTGAAGAACTAAACTACAAACCACTGAAGAACTAAACTACAAACTACTGAAGAACTAAACTACAAACTACTGAAGAACTAAACTACAAACCACTGAAAAACTGAACTACAAACTACTGAAGAACTAAACTACAAACCACTGAAGAACTAAACTACAAACTACTGAAGAACTAAACTACAAACTACTGAAGAACTAAACTACAAACCACTGAAGAACTAAACTACAAACTACTGAAGAACTAAACTACAAACTACTGAAGAACTAAACTACAAACTACTGAAGAACTAAACTACAAACTACTGAAGAACTAAACTACAAACTACTGAACAACTAAACTACAAACTACTGAAGAACTAAACTACAAACTACTGAAGAACTAAACTACAAACTACTGAAGAACTAAACTACAAACTACTGAAGAACTAAACTACAAACCACTGAAGAACTAAACTACAAACCACTGAAGAACTAAACTACAAACCACTGAAGAACTAAACTACAAACCACTGAAGAACTAAACTACAAACCACTGAAGAACTAAACTACAAACTACTGAAGAACTAAACTACAAACCACTGAAGAACTAAACTACAAACCACTGAAGAACTAAACTACAAACCACTGAAGAACTAAACTACAAACCACTGAAGAACTAAACTACAAACCACTGAAGAACTAAACTACAAACCACTGAAGAACTAAACTACAAACTACTGAAGAACTAAACTACAAACCACTGAAGAACTAAACTACAAACTACTGAGGAACTAAACTACAAACTACTGAAGAACTAAACTACAAACTACTGAAGAACTAAACTACAAACTACTGAAGAACTAAACTACAAACCACTGAAGAACTAAACTACAAACTACTGAAGAACTAAACTACAAACTACTGAAGAACTAAACTACAAACTACTGAAGAACTAAACTACAAACCACTGAAGAACTAAACTACAAACTACTGAAGAACTAAACTACAAACCACTGAAGAACTAAACTACAAACCACTGAAGAACTAAACTACAAACCACTGAAGAACTAAACTACAAACTACTGAAGAACTAAACTACAAACTACTGAAGAACTAAACTACAAACTACTGAGGAACTAAACTACAAACTACTGAAGAACTAAACTACAAACTACTGAAGAACTAAACTACAAACTACTGAAGAACTAAACTACAAACCACTGAAGAACTAAACTACAAACTACTGAAGAACTAAACTACAAACTACTGAAGAACTAAACTACAAACTACTGAAGAACTAAACTACAAACTACTGAAGAACTAAACTACAAACTACTGAAGAACTAAACTACAAACTACTGAAGAACTAAACTACAAACTACTGAAGAACTAAACTAGCACAAAACAAAACTGCTGAAGAATGAAATGAGAAGCTACTGAAAAAGAGCTAATTCTGACAGACTGACATGTTGTTGTAACAGTATCTGATCGATAATAAATAATAATTTATAAATAATTGTGTGTGTGTGTGTGTGTGTGTGTGTGTGTGTGTGTGTGTGTTTCAGTCGATTGACCCTGGGCAGCAGTTCACGTGGGAACACTCCAACCTGGAGGTAAACAAGCAGAAGAACCGCTATGCTAACGTGATCGCGTATGACCACACACGCGTGATCCTGGCTCCAGTCGACGGTAAGCGCAGAGCGTGTGTGTGTGTGTGTGTGTGTGTGTGTGTGTGCGTGTGTGCGTGTTTGCGTGTGTGCATGCATTTCTGTATGTCTGAGTGTTTGTGGAAATGTTTCTCTGTGTGCCTCTGCAAATGTGTGTGTGTGTGTGTGTGTGTGTGTGTGTGTCTGTGTGTGTTTGTGTGCACTGGAGCTGAGGCTGACCTCCTCTGCACTCTCCCCCGCTAGGCATTATGGGTAGTGACTACATCAATGCTAACTACATCGACGGCTACAGGAAGCAGAACGCCTACATCGCCACACAGGGGCCGCTGCCCGAGACCTTCGCAGACTTCTGGAGGATGGTGTGGGAGCAGCGGGCGGCAACGGTGGTGATGATGACCCGACTGGAGGAGAAATCACGGGTGTGTGTCTGTGTGTGCGTGCGTGCGTGCGTGTGTGTGTGTGTGTGTGTGTATGTGTGTGTCACTGCAGTTAGATTACTTGTATTAGTTCACCAGGTCTGTATTTTGTCACACATAATGAATACTGCAGGTCTGCTGAATGCTGGACTCTGATTGGCTGCTGCTCACTCTCAGGTGTTTGGTTATTGTCAGATAAAGGCACAGCTAAAGTAGTTCCGGCAGCTTTAGAGCGCATTACAGCTCCATATCACTCTGCTGAATGATTAGACACACTCACACACACTCACACACACACACACACACACATACACACACACACACACACAACATGTAGTGGATTCTGCAGTGGTGCTGGACTTGAACAGTGCTCACCTGCGGCTGACGGGGGAGTAGTGGAGGATATGCACAGTATTAGTGTGCTGTAAGAGTAATAAAGCACTCTGAGCTGTTGGATTATTAATGTTGATTCAGTCTGATGTCTGTTGACTGGTTGTTAGTTGTTAGTTGGTAACATGTCGTAGATTTTAATGCATTAGTAAATGTTAAACCCAGCACTGGTCAAGCTGTGATACACACACAAAATGCACACGCTTAAACACACACACACACACACACACACACACTGATGATCTCCTCTGTCCTGCAGGTGAAGTGTGATCAGTACTGGCCCAGTCGTGGCACAGACTCATTCGGGGCGGTGCAGGTCAGTCTGCTGGACACTATGGAGCTGGCCACCTTCTGTGTGCGCACCTTCTCTCTGCACAAGGTCAGATATCAATACATTAATACAACCCAAAGCAGGGAAATCAGGACAGTGTGGAAAACACAAGTATACAGACAGACAGACAGACAGACAGACAGACAGACAGACAGACAGACAGCAGTGTCTCCAGATGTGCTCTGACTCGAGTTTGATCAGACGACATGAACACACAATATCTGCTCATCTTCAGCTCAGTGAGTCTCCATCCCCTGCTGTCAGTCAGAGCTCAACACACTCCAGAGACAGCAGCAGTGATCAGGTGATCTGCTGAATAATGGTGTGATGTGACGCAGGTGATGTCCACAGGTGAGTCTAGTCCTTTAGGAGCAGAGATGGGCCAGGATCTTCAGTTTGAGCACAGATACAAGAGAAAGTGTGTGAACACAATGATCCTCAGAGGAAGACATGTGGAGATTTCACCTTCAACAGACTGAAGGAGTCTGGAGGAGTTTCAGTGCGTAAAGGACACGAGCGCAAGCCTGAGCTGAACAACCGTGACCTCCGACCCCTCAGGGGGCGCTGCATCAAGAGTCCTCATTCATCTATAAGCAGATCAGCACATGGGCTCAGCGGTACTGCGGCAAACCTGTGACAAGCAGCACAATACAGAGTCACATCCACAAACACCAGCCAACTCTGCACTGTGCCAAGAGGAAGCCCTATGTTAACAGTGTCCAGAAGCGCTGCTCTGGGCTCTGAGGCATCTGGGATGGAGCATCACACAGTGGAGACGTGTCCTGTGCTCAGATGAAGCAGTGTTTCAGGTGTTTCTGGGAGAAATGGACGCCGTGTGCTCCAGACCAAAGAAAAAGAGGATCATCCAGACTGACACCAGCAACAGGTCCAGAAGCCCGGCTCTGTCATGGTCTGGGGTTGTGTCGGTGCTCTTGGCGAAGGTGACCTGCTCTTCTGTGATGCTCCAGTAATGCTGAACAGCACAGAGAGATTCTGGAGCTCAATATGCTGCAGAGACGCCCATGCAGAGTCCAACAAGACAATGCAGAACCACATTCAGCTCACATTACAGAGAAGAGGAGACTAATAGACTGGCCTGCCTGAAGTCCTGACCCGTCTCCAATAGAGAATGTGTGGAGCAAAATGCAGCAGTGAAGAGCCGCGCTGTCGGCCAGATGAAGACGTGTCTGCAGGAGGAATGGGGCAGAATGAGCCCTGAACACTTCAGCACTGCTGTCTTCAGCCCCTAACCAGCACACAGTGGGAAACGCTTCACTGGTGCAGCCGATCCTGGAGTGCTGGAAAACTGTAGATGACGAGGAGCACGTTAATCATGTCTGCAGAGAGACACGAGCCACAGAACTTCTGGAAATCTCTGCTGTCTGTTTAGTTCTGTTTTCCACACTGACCCATCCCGCTCTGATTTGAGCTTGTAGTTCAGTGTGAGTCTGGATCAGGCCGTGTGTGTGTGTGTGTGTGTGTGTGTGTGTGTGTGTGATCCTCATTCTCTGTGATCCTCCAGAACGGCTCTAATGAGCGCAGGGAGGTCCGTCAGTTCCAGTTCACCGCCTGGCCTGATCACGGCGTTCCCGAATATCCCACTCCATTCCTGGCATTCCTGCGCAGAGTCAAGGCCTGCAACCCACCGGACGCTGGACCCGTCATCGTACACTGCAGGTGTG